GGCAGGCTCTCCTTGCTGGCGGGCTCCAGAGTCTCCCTCTCCAGTCTGTGAGCAAACTGGCATCATTCTCCATGAAGCTCCCATAGCTATCATCTCTCACCACGGGCCCTCCACCAGCCAGCACAGGGTGCTGAAAACTTTCATCCACATCTGAGAAGTTAGATCAAAGGCTTAGAAGACAGCTGGCATATATGGGAGGAGAGGAAACTGAAAACCACTCTTAGATTCCAAAATCTCATACTAAAATCTCTCTACCGCTGGTCCTCACTACCTTCATTGAATCTAAGCATGAGAGTTGTGGTTTTTTTTTTTAACCAAACTTTCTAAAGCAAGCAGTTCAGTGGTTAGGTTCAGTGTTAAGCTTATAGGGACATTTAATTCAGTTATCATCCAATTTGGTTTGTGACTAGAATCAAGGAAAAATTACCTTCATGAACTGCATATAATTATATTATATTATATTAATATATTCACATGGGGCAGAGGGTACTGGCTTTCATTCCCAGAATTGCTTCTTTTACCAACACCCAGCTACTTTGCTGCTCCATGGGGACCAGGGGGAAAGCCACCGAGAGAACACAGCTGGGAAGCAAGAGTGTGAAAGGCGAGAACTGAGAAATTTGGACCAACTCCTCTGGGAAGAGACAGAAATCAGGCCCAAAATGAGGTTAGGGGAGGCATTCATAGGAAAGAAACAGAAGATGTTGTAACCTGTTTTTTAAAAACTCAGCAATTCTGGCCTCCACAGGCAGAGCATAACTCTGTACTTAGCAGCCAAAATGGGAATTGCCTGTGTGCCAGGCACTCCATTAAAAATAAGAATACAGAGATGAGCACAACTTCTGTTACCTTATTTAGCTGTCACTGTAATCCCATGAGGTAGATATTAGAAATAATAAAATGAAGCTTAGTAAAAGAAAATGCATTTATAAAAGCAAAAATTTTTGCTAGGTTCCATCAGGGATGTGGAAATGAATGTATTAATGTACATAATTGCCTAGCATAGTAACTGGCAACTAGTCATAGCATGTAAATATTAGTACCCTTTAAAATCTACACCAAGCTTCCTTTACATTGTTTTACATGATCTTCACAACTACCCTATGTAGTACTTACCATCCCTCTTCTACATATAAAGCAAGGAGTTCAGTATTTAAGAAACTTAAAGTGACACTTCTAGTGACTGTGGAACTACAATAGGAAGCGGGGTTTCTTGACCCCCTATCCCACCTCATCTCTGTGCCATGTGTCAATGGTGCATGCACTCATTCATTCATTCATTCATTCATTCATGTGACAGTGCATTCCTGCAAGCACATCGCTCTGCAGCAAGGCCATCAGCTCAGAGCACCATAATGAAGGCATTGAATGCTGAGGACAGAGAAAGGGGAGCTCTCCTCCTGTTAGGACCCTTGAACCTAGTAGGTGCAGGACCTCAGAGTTACAAGGCCTCATCTCTCCATTTTGGTGATAGGGAATTAAGTGAAGTAGGATCATCATTAATAGGAGGTGAAGCAAGAGAAGCTTAGCACTGCCGTGCTCCAGAAGCATCATACATGCTGCATGAAACAGCAAAGAGCAATTTAAACAGCAATGCTTTTTCTCCTGTTCCAGGCACCTCTGTGCACTCTGGCACAAGGCAAGAGTGAAAGACACACTTGCTGTTTGTTTCCTCTGCTTTCCTCTCCCCTCTTTCTTCACTGGCTTCCTCCTCCCCTCCTCATCCACCCACTTATCAGGGCCCCATCTTTTCATCATAATGACAGGCAGAAAGGTCTCTGCAAGCAGGTCCCCAAGGTGCCACAGGACCAGAGGGCATAAAATATTTAGCGGTCAGTGTTGACAAGAAATGGGTTTTAAGAAATTGAAAATTCTCCTGTCGCTTTAGAGCAAACTGTGTTCTTGATGCGGCTGAAAGCTGGCACGATTGTGCTTCAGAGACCACTGAAGAATGTAAGCAGCAGCCCAAGCAGCAGCTTGGAGGGTCTGCAGCTCCCTTGTTCTGTGTGGACAGACTGACAGACAGAGAGACAAGGATAGGGAATGAGGAGACAAAGGGCTTTAGGGTCCAGAACCTGAGGGCTGCTACTCTGAAGAATTGAGAATGGCCCTGATCAAAAGGAATGGATGGAAATGGTCTCCCCCATGTATATAATTTATTGAGCTTCTTATTACATTGGTAAATGACCACAAGTACACTATAGAAAATTTCTGAAGTTTAAAATCACAAAGAACAGTATTAAAATCACTTTAATTCTTGCTTGATTAACATTTTGGTACACCACTCAAGTTTTTAATCTCCTCTCTACCTATAATCTACCTTAATGTCATATTTTTCCTTTAATTGGCATCACTCTGTGCTTACAGTTTTAAAGCCTGTTCTTTCTACTTAACACATAGCAAACACTTTCCCGTGTCATTATACACCCATCTAAACGTCACCTTTAAGGACTGCATTTAGCATGCTAACCTATGGTGAACCCTGGAGTTTATTTACCAGGTTTTCAGTTTGGGACTTTTGAGTTCGTTCCAGCTTTTTACCATTGTTAGAAAGACTGTGATGAGTACACTTTAGACAATGGTGTATAAAGCAAATTCCTATAAGAGAAATTTCTAAAGATACATACTTGTTTGAGTAAACTCCAAATTGGACCAAGTATGAAAGGTTTTTAGGGGGCTCAGGATTCCTAAAGTGATGCATCTTCAGACAGATCAGAAAATTGCAGAAGGAAAAATGCATTAGCTGGACTTCTTGGAGACACAAGCAACAAAAACTCCCCTTAGTATTCAGCAATTTCCAGTGGTGATATATCCAACAATGGAGCTACCATGTCCATTGAGCAAAACATTCCCTGCCCAGACTCTGAGGTGCAATTCTCTAGGTGCCCACCTGAAGGCTTACCCTGACCCAAGCCACTTTCCTAGCCTGGTTCAGAAGAAGCTGTGGGCCCAGGCTTCATAACCCCCGAGTCCCATTACCAGTTTCATTGATCCCTTGCAGGAGGACCTGCTCTCTGAGGTCCTGCAAACCACTATGCAGAACAGAGCTTCTTAAACTTCAGTGTGCACAGAAATCACAGTGATTTAGCTTAAAAACAGGTCCAAATTCGGTAGGTCTGGGGTGAGTTTCCCGTTCAGCATTTCTGCCTCCAAATGATGTCAAAGCTGCTGGTCCAATTCTCACTCTTTAAGGAGCAAGGATCCAATCATGATTCCTGTCTGTTCTTCAGAATCATCCTCAAAGCTTTTGAAATAACACCAAAACCCAAGCCCCACCCAGAGATCTTATTTAACTGACCAAGGGTGGAATTTATGCACCAATATTTTCTCAGATGACTATAGATAATTTGAATGCAAGACCAATTTTGAGAATCACTGCTCTAGATCATGTCAGTCAGAGGCCATGGTTATTTTGTCTTTACATCCCCAGTACTTGGTCATGATACTACATGAATATTTTGGAAATCATCTTTCACACATGTATCTCACTGGGAATTCACAGAGTCTTTTTCATATCTCTGGATAGCTCTTACTCCATCTTCCAGACTCTTATCTGCCTTCCTCTTCCACCTCCACAACAGCTGCCATGGTCTGAGCTCTTACTGTAGATCAGGGTTCCTGCATGATTACCATTGCTATTTTCCAGATGTGAATGCTGAGTCTCAGAAAGGCAAAGTAACTCGCCCAACGGCAAGTGGTGGGGCTAAAATCAGAAGTGAGGTCTGTCTGACTCCAATGCCTTGTCATCTTGCCTACTATGTCTTGTTGCTATTATCCTTTTCTTCAGGTTTTGTCCGTCTGTAGAGACCATCAGATGTCTTGGAAGCTATTGCTTGGTTTCCCACAGATCAGGAACATGACACTGATTTTTGATGCTAGGCTTTGTGGGGATCAGTCGAGACTTATGTGAAAGCCTTTTGGACACTATTGCAGATTTCAGTAGGTGTGGGTTAGTGTGGGCATCTTGACAATTATTTGAGTGTTGGTGTCTCCATTGTCAGGTTCGCTTGGAGTGGCCCACAGACTTAGCCATCAACCCAATGGACAACTCTCTTTATGTCCTGGACAACAATGTGGTCCTGCAAATCTCTGAGAACCACCAGGTGCGCATTGTCGCAGGAAGGCCCATGCACTGCCAGGTCCCCGGCATCGACCACTTCCTGCTGAGCAAGGTGGCCATCCATGCAACCCTAGAGTCAGCCACCGCTTTGGCCGTTTCACACAATGGGGTCTTGTATATTGCTGAGACTGATGAGAAAAAGATCAACCGCATCAGGCAGGTCACCACTAGTGGAGAGATCTCGCTGGTTGCTGGGGCCCCTAGTGGCTGTGACTGTAAAAATGATGCCAACTGTGATTGCTTCTCTGGGGATGACGGTTATGCCAAGGATGCAAAGCTTAATACCCCCTCTTCCCTGGCCGTGTGTGCTGATGGAGAGCTCTACGTGGCTGATCTTGGGAACATCCGAATTCGGTTTATCCGGAAGAACAAACCTTTCCTCAACACCCAGAACATGTATGAGCTGTCTTCACCCATCGACCAGGAGCTGTACCTGTTTGATACCAGTGGCAAGCATTTGTATACCCAAAGCCTGCCCACAGGAGACTACCTGTACAACTTCACCTATACTGGGGACGGTGATGTCACACTCATCACAGACAACAATGGCAACATGGTGAACGTCCGCCGAGATTCCACAGGGATGCCCCTCTGGCTGGTGGTCCCTGATGGCCAGATATACTGGGTAACTATGGGCACCAACAGTGCACTCAGAAGTGTGACCACCCAAGGACATGAGTTGGCCATCATGACCTACCACGGTAATTCCGGCCTTCTGGCAACCAAAAGCAATGAAAATGGATGGACAACATTTTATGAGTAAGTATCAAGATAAGACCATTTGGCAGTTGTGTTTTCTTAGATACATTGTAGGATTTGAGATGGATCAGTGGAGTATAAATTCTTGTATTTATTTCATTTTAATTCATGTAAAACTTACCTATAATATGTTCTGCACGTTCTGATTCCAAATGGTTCCTCCTAAGAAAGAAATGATATAGTACAAAAGGCATGAGCTTAGGAATCACAGGAATTGGGTATCATTCTCAGCTCCATCAGAGACTTAATTTCTCTAGGCCTCAGTTTCAACACCTGTTAAATAGTCTGTAGTCACCTACCCAGAATAGCACAGGGACATGATGTAGATGAAAAGTACTTGGTAAAATGCCAGCACCTTCATATGACCACTGTTCAGACATATGGCAATATGAGAAGGAGCATCCTTACAGATCACATAATTTTCCACATAATCAAAGCTCACATCTTCAAATTCCAAAAATACAGTTTTTATTTTAAGCATTTTGGATGAATTCTTATGAAATAAATTACCAGTCCTCTCTTCTCAGACACATGTTGCAGACATTGCTGTGTAACCTTTCGTTTTATGAGTCAGGAACACTAGCATGAAACAACAGTTGCATATTATGTTGTACTACGGGGACAGCTTCTGGAAGTGGGGAGGCAAGGACACAAAGCCCTTGGCCCCTGATGTCATTTTAAACTATTCTTTTATTAGCTCCTTGTCTACCATATGTAGTCCCTGGTTCTTTTCTGTGTGGTGCTGTCGTGTGAAGGTGAACCTCAAGCAGCTACTTCCTTCTCCGTCCAGCATAGGGCCACTGCAGTGTTGTGGTCAGAGGAGCCCAACTTTAGCTCATTACAATCGTAACTAGAATTAAATATATATAAAACCTGAAGTGTTTTCTTTATGAGACACTTTAATGAAATGGACCTTGTACTATCTCTTTTAAAGCTTAGATCTTTTAAAGCTTCTTTTTTGAGATCTAGCCATGTTCCAGATGACAGAGACTGCTGAATACATCACCAAAAGATAAGTGTGCAGGAGACAGGAAAGGAGCTGGTCTTGTTGGTGCTCCCACTCTCACAACAGTTCAGGATGACAGGAGATATTATCTGTTTTACAGAAATAGAAACTGAGGCCCAGAGAGGTTCATTTGCCTGCTGTTACACAGAAATGGTAGAACAAGGACTCACTCTCCACATCTGAGGCCAGAGTTCTGCTCTTTCAATCCTGCTGTCCCAGGCCTCCCCATTTAAGCCCAAATGAACTTCAATTCTTGGGCCCTACAGTTTTCACAAACTGGATCAAGCATCAATTTCTCACAGAGTCTAAAGGAAAAGGATTTGTAATTGATTTTCAAATATAATTTGCACCCCCAAAATGTCACAGCATTTTGTACAAAGTTCGCTAGTTAAATTCCTTTCTCCAAACAAGGTCTTGTTAATTGCAAAAAAAAGACAAAGATCCAGGAAAACAGCAATTATCTTGATTAACTCATTGAAATGGAAATACGCTAAATAATTCAATTTTCCCCATTACTCAATGGAATGGAAATCTCTTATACATTATTTAGCCAATACAGGGGTTTCTTTGTCAAGGCAAGTCTGTGTACTCAATTAATTCCCAAGGTCACTCACTTAGATCCCAAACCAACTACTTACACATCACTGGCACTGTTATTCTCCATCACCCTGAAACCTGAAACGTTTCCCTGCACCTCTGTCAGAAAGAATCTCCCCTCTCTTTCCTGCATAAAATATGCAGCCATAGTTGATGTTTTATGAAGAAAGAAAATTTATTATAATTGCTTTGTATAAAACAGCCTTTGAAGTTCCAAAGGATCCGTTTTATCACAGTACACAGGATTCCCGTTGACACAAATGAAAAGTGGAAGATAAAGGCCCTAAAATAGGAGAAACTCAAGGAGTTTCTGTATGCTAGGCTGTTTCCCATTTAATTGCCACAGCACCTACAGTTTCAAGCTCCTAGTTTGATACACAGATAAATTAGCAAGGGTCTTACAGTCAATCACTAACTTAGTAGGAATCATCTACATTTTTCTTTTACCTGTGAGCACACTAAGGCACAGAGACTGGATAACAAGCTCAAAATCACACAGTGGATATAGAGCATAGCCCGAACACAAGTCTCTGTTCCCCTAGCTGCACTAGCTAGATTCAGTTATATTCTTCCTGACTCATCTGTATGAAAGAGATTAAAACAGTTTATATTCTGTGATAGTGTGAGGTTCAAATTTTCAGTGAGATGAAATATAGAAAGCTCAACGATTCCTGCTGCTGCTATTATCTCAAGCAATACTGTGGCAGGAGTGGTCATTACAGAAATGTTATTTGGACATGAAAGGTATTACCCAGGAACAGTTTGGAAGTGAGCTAATCAAAGGAACAAACAAAAGATTTAACTGGTAGAAATCAGAGGTCAGGTGCCAAGTATGAGAGATCAAGGTATACAGTAGGAGAGAGGCCAGGTCCTGGAATATTCAAGGCAGACTGGAAGATGGCATGCAGAGCGGGCAAAAGCAAAGTGGCACATTTAGATGGGAAGAAAGCAAGGATGCCAGATTCCCATTGTCACTGGACTGTGAGCTATTTAGCTATGTGACTTGAGGGCAGGCCAGCTGTCTCCCAGACCTAAGTCTCAACCAGACAGAAACAATCACTACCCTACCCCATTTCTAAACCATTCTGATGATCAAAAGACTAAGTTAATACTAAAAATAAAACTACTTTGCAAATTGTGAGGCTGCTTAGAGATAAGGGTGTGGTATTATTTGTCATGATGGTATTTCTTAACAAGGATCTGTACAGGTTTTGCCAATGAACAATTTGCTCTTAGTGAATTTTCTCCCTCTTGTTCCATGATTCAGCTTAGTGGATTCAATCCCAAATGTTCTCATATTTTTTAAAAAATCAGCGCAGGCCTGCCTGCGACATGGGCTATTACTAAAACAATCTTTAAGTTGATGTTATTGATCCTCTTAACAGATTAAATAGTACATCTAGCATAAACATCACATACTTTAGGGAAACTTGACTTACAGAGTTCACAGTTACGGAGACTGAAGGTTACTTTTCTCCCTTGGACCACAGGTCTGCTGGCAGTGCAGGCTGCCAAGGAGCTGGCAGTGCAGGCTTCATCACCAGCGAATGGCCTCATTGCTCTCAGAGGTGGCCCCTGGTTACATAGCATTTGGTGGCCAGTAAAATGACCCAGTAGCATGAGGCTGGGTCCCAGTCTGACTATTGGGATGGGCATGAGTGAGCAAGCTCCCAAAGTTTCCTAGGGTAAGGTGGCTCTGTGTTTCGCCTCGCTTGGTGCCCTGTGACAGCTGTGACAATGAGTCTCACATTAACTACTCTTTCTCTTTGTTGAGCTTAGGACTTGCTAAGTAGTTCTCAGCAAATACTTTATAAGTGAAGTGTAAGTTGAAGAGAAAAAGTAGAAAAAGAAGGGATGAAAAACTATGCTGTAGTAAGAAGAATGCTAGATTTAGATCCCAGCACCAGGATTATCCATGCTCCTGGCAGGAAGTAGAATCCAATTCAAGTTGTTCAGATGAAAAGATTTGGCTGTCAGTTTTTGTTTGGATACATGAGCGCCAACATGAGCATCATTCCCAACTTCACCATGAAAATAAGCCAGACAAAGGCAAATTCATGTGTTTTCCTTGAACTCCTTCTGAAGTAACAGAAGTAACAACTAGTCCAACCCAAGGATTGACAGACTTACAGACAGACAGAATGTGAGCTCTGACTTACTTGAATGCACTCAACCAGACCCAGTAAGAGGATCTTAGCTGGCATTTTTATGAAGGCTAAGTGTATCAGCACAAGAGAGCATGCAGCCTTCAGAGACTGCAGAAACTGAGAGAGTCTCTACATCCTCTTCAGGATTTTTCTCTATAAATATCACCAAGAGTGTTTGTACAGAAGAAAGTGGAAAAGATTTAAGCAAGTGTCCCTTGGGGCAGACCCAGGGTAAGAGTGCAGCAGATACAGAGAGGAAAACACAGAGACCTGCCTGCTCCACCCAGACCCTGGCACCCCATCTCCCTAAAGAGCAGGGGTGTGAACTCCTTAGACACAGTGTGAACGCACTCAGCTAAATGAGGGAAGAAAAGAGGAAATATATGTGCTGGGAAAGAAGCAGGAATGTGTAATGAGCCCAGAATCACCCCTGAGAAGAGGCAGAAGCACTGGGGAGCCCAGTCCTGATACTCAGGGACACATTACCTAAGGCTAAGGACAGGTACTGTAGCAACAGGAACACAAAGAACTCTTCCTCCCCACCCCAAGCCAGATGAAGGGCAGAGCAATACAAGGAGCAGAATCCTAGGGAAAAGAATAAAAAGAGGGGTTCAGAGCATAGAAGGAGACCTTTTCTGAGACACGGCACAGAGGGAGGACCTAAACTGAGAATGGGGTAGACATCCTCTGGCAAACTAGTGTCTTACCTTAAATGCAAGGAATTGCTAAAGGGAATTGCGGAATCACAGAGAGTATCCATAGAAACAGCAAACTTCCAAGCTAGCCCAAACCTTAAGTAAATTAATACAAAACCCTCACTAATATCCTAGCAGAGGAAAACCCAACCATCAGGCACAGAGATTCACATCTGTAATCCTAGCTACTAGAGAAGCTGAGACAGGAGGACCTCAAGCTTGAGGCCAGCCTGGGCAACTTAACTTAATGAGATTGTGTCTCAAACTTAAGAAAAGTTTGGGGATATAGCTTAGTGTTAGAGCACCCCTGGTTCAACCCTAATACTGCAAGAAAAAAGAAACAGGAAACCCATGGGCATTTCCAGGCATAAGCCATCACTTCAGTCTCTACTGTGCTACACAACAGGTCACATTTTCAACTGAACACACAAAAGGGAAGAAGAAGCAAAAATAGAATCATCTGAACCACATTCAGATGTGACACAGATGTTGGAACGGTCCTTCAGAGAATTTAAATAACTATAATTATATTAAAAGCTCTAATGGAAAAGGTGAACAGTGTGCAAGATCAGATGGATAATTTCAACAGAGAGATGGTAACTGTAGGAAATAATCAAATGAAAATGCTAGAAATGCTAAACAGTTACAAAATGAAAAATTCTTTGGATGGGCTCATCATTCTGGTAACACAGTGTTACACAGTCAGAAAGGAGACAG